TACTGGGTATATGTTTGTTTCCAAATCTTAAGCACCACTAAAAACTGTAGAGTAGAACTACTGACTTTAGAGGGCATGGCATTAGTCAGCAGAGAGCAGGAAATACTTCCAGAGAGCTTTGGCTAGCATCCTTGTAAATCCCGTCACACCCACACTGTGCACCAGCCAGCCTTAGTGGAGGTTAGGCTGCCTGGGTGTTGCCTTGGCCCTCGGCCAGAAGATGGCAACAGTTAGAAACATGAAGGGGAATTCACTTGGAATAAGTGACTGGCTCCTTGCAGATGTGAGTTCTCACCTGTGAAGAGGGACAATGGTGCCTTGGCCTGTCTAGGTCCCACATTCCTGAAATGCTGCGTTTCATAGCATCAGTTTCAGCAGATGTGCTACACAAGGATACTTCATTATGCTTTTGACAACAATTCTTAAAACCTAAAGGGATACTTGAGGAATCCCTTAAGTGAAAGCCAAGTGATTCTAAATTAATATCACTTCAGTTAAAGCCAAGTGATTCTAAATTGATGTTTGACCATGACTTTGTTCCAAGGAAGAATGTCAGCTGCGTGTCCAGGGTGAACACTTGGCTCCTGCTTTGCCTTCATATTTTCAGTTCCCAGGGTTCTACCTGTCACACTGGGAAGTTTCTTTTCTTTTGTTACAAGAAACTCTCACCATTACGTTGGCTCTGTAAAGGGAAGCAATACAAATAGAGGAAATCCTACAGACATAGCTTTTGCATCATTGGTGGGTGAGAGACTGAAAAGCACCACAGCCCCACTGGAGCTCTGGGTATATACAGCTGTGGTAAAATCATAAAGGGGTGATAGAAGGTGAAGCACTTCAATGGGAAGTTCAGGGATCATTCTCCCAGTCTCTGGAACCAGCAGGCAGGAGATAGGGTATGTTTTGTCTATTTCAGTGCTCTACTAGACAGGAAAAGTGAAAACAATCAGTCCAGAAATACACCTATTCCGCCCATCTGCATCCTCCCTAAAGACTGGCCGTGTACGTCACTCAAAGCTCACCCATAGCTAACACAGACCTGATGGTCTGGTCAGGTATACAGTGTTCAGCGTTTAGGGCCTATTACATGTCAGCCACTCTTCCATGTGTTGATGATTCAGGCACAACTCTTGCCCCCATGAAGATTATATTTCATTGTGGAGAAACAGAAAAACATGTGGTAAATTAGATGTATCATGTTAAGAAGGAATTCATCCATTGAGTGATGAAGCAGGATAAGGGGAATAGAGAATCTAGTTTTGCAAAGAGTTTAAGAGTAGATCTGTCTGATTAGGATGGTAAGAGATTCGGGGAGCATGCCATGTGGGTATTTGGAAGAAGAGTATTCTTGGCAAAGAGAACCAACCACTGGAAAGGCCCTGAGAACAGATCAGATCAGAGTGTTCAGTGAATAACAAGGAAGCCAATGTGGCTGGATCAGAATAAGCAAGGGGGAGAGAAATAGGAGGCAAGACCTCTAAGGTACTCATGAGTCTGATTACATAGGGTCTTGTTGGAAGCCATTGGAGGGTTTTGAGTGGAGGACTGACATGAGTGCTATACTGGGAACAGGAAGTAAGGAAGCAAAGTTTGGAAATGGGAAGATCTTAGGAAGCACATTCAATAATCCAAGCGAGAGGTGATGAGAAGTGATTTAGAATCTTTACTATGAACTTGATATATTTTGAAGAGACAATGTTATTTTCTGATGGATTAGATGTAGTTATAAGAAAGAGAAGAGT